TCCACTCCTATTTGCCACGTAAGTCCTGCGCGCACTTTCCGCTCCGACCGTTACTCTTCCATTTAGCATTGAAATGTCAATATTAATGCTCTTCGCGAAATCGATTTGCCGTCTGTCGCTCCATACGGAGGATGCTCTCGCCTCTCCGTTTTTTCTCGTTTCGTGCTTCGGCTAAATGCCCCCTTCTCCATCGATATTCGATAATGAGAAGCGAGCATTATCGCGTGAGCTTCCGGAAGAAAATGGGAAGCGAGCCGCAAGGCTAACGACGTTAATTGGGTGTCTGCGGAACCGCCGCTGATGCGGCACGTGAGCCATAGTCGACATGAGAAAACTAAACGATGCGAATTGGAGAAGACGGTGCCCCGATGCAGCCAGTCGATGAAACGAGAACCAGTATGAAAATGCCCTTCGGCGGAGACGCATAATCCGCGAGATAAGCAGGCACGGAGAACAAGGCGACTCGATTCCATTCGCCACGATGGGTGCGCGACGCGCTACGAGACGTCCGACGAAATATCGAGAAACGCGCGTGCGTGCGCTGTCGCGTGTGAATAGTGGATGAGTCGGCTCTCTCGCCCGGTTGCTTTCTAACCCGTCTGACGCATTTCTAATTGGCTGGCGCGATCGTTGGCCGCGCGCGGCTGCGGCACACAATAACGGGCAGCAGCCTCGAAGCCCGGACAGCTGGAGAGGCTCATTGATCGCTGCGGGCTCTTCGGCTCTCTTTCTCGAGGCTTCGTCTTGCTTTTCTCGGCAACTACTTTTTGATCTTCCGAAAGACAGCTGGCGCGCGCCGAGCCCTTTGTACGCGGATCTCCTCCCCCCCCCCCCCTCTCTCTCTCTCTATGCTCGATCATGCAGAATGCACAAGTATGCATGCGATGTGGGTGGATGATGAGACGCAAAGTCTAAATATTTGACTTTCCGCGCGATGCGCTACTGTGTGTACTGATGCGCGATACGCGCAACATCCGTGCGAATAAATTCACGGTTTTCTTCTTTTTCCATCCTATCTGTCTTCCCTTTCATCTCGACTACATTTCATCGTTCCACATTTTACGCGCTGAATGTGTGATTTTTCGTGATCAACGAAAATTATTCATTGGTTTTTCGCGGCGCGAAGGAAGACCGTGCGAGAGAGATTTGTTGTTGGAGGCGTGAACGAGAGTGGGTCAATTAAAAAAGCTCGCGGGCTTTTTCATTGAATCGCATTTTATTATCGACGCGCTGTTTTTCGCTCAACGAGTGCTCGTCCCACTGGGATTATCACGGATTTCGCCGACGCGTATTGGCAACTTTTATTGGAAATGGCGCTCGCGTTCGCGACATTTTCGCTCGCGAGATAGAGACTCTCTTTTCTACTCCCTCCCCTTTCTGCTCGATTCACGTGCTTGCTTTGTGCTGCTTTAGCGGGGTCTTTGCGCTTTCAGTTGCTCACTGAAGGGGTAGATAAACGTTTTTCTGCAATTTTTCAAAGGAATAGATATGAGCTTTTTAAAATAAAATTTGCATGTTGCGCCTCATTGTGTTCGAGTAGTACGTGGAATTTTTAATCCAAATGAAAGCTTCATTGTCAATCGCACCTACAAACTTTGAATAACTTCTCTTAATATTTTGCAGTAAATTATAATTATAATTAATTATAATATTATTCAAGTTTCTATCGGACAAAGCACGGCTTGAATCGCTGAACGTGAAGCCCCGTCGCACACAAGTTATTCAAATTGTTTGGTTAAAATATAGTACTAGATATCGTTTACTTAACGATAACAAATGCCCTTTCAGCAAGCCCGACGTCTGTTCGACTTTAGCGAATGATTTATTTTATGCACGACGAAGAAGATGAGAAAAAAAAGCCCACGGTGACTTTTTATCAAGGCTCACTCAGGAGCTTTGTAAAACATTGTCGCGTGACCCCTCATCGACGGGCGAGCGGCAATGTGTAGTCAAGTAAAAACTGCCGAGCGCTTCTCTGAGTTATTTTTCATGTCGCGCAACGCGCTGAAAAGAGCTCGGTTGTACCTCCCGGCGCGTCTTCATTCCTGCATTGAAATATGACTGGACTGTCGCTCGATTACCCCCACGCGAATTTTCCATTTTCACTCGCGAAAACAAAGAGAAGACCGGATAGAGAGAGAGAGAGAGAGAGTACGAAAGTGAGATAGATAAGTAGGAAGCTCGTGATATTAGCTTCTAGTCGAGCGGGAACATCGATCGCACTGCAAAAAGGACTACCTTACTACCCTTGTACTACCCTAATGGGTCTAATGGCACTCTTCGTTGCTTTTATCGGATTTGGTTGGTGCTCTATTCTTTTTTCCCGTAAATTTCATTCGTAGTCTCGTCGGGCCAATTGAAAAAAAAATGTTCGCGCTTCTTTGTACGAAATGTCACTCACTACCTCTCAATAAATAATTTTCAACTTTATACCGCGTATATTGTCGAATTTCTCGTTATCATCTCGCTTATATAAGCGTAAACTCAGCATATTTTTATTGGCTTTGAGAAGCATTCGAGCGCACTAGCTATTTTGAATTTCATATTTTACAAGTTTTCTCGCGTAAGTCTTTTAAAATTCAAGTCGAAGCTCTCACGTCTCTCTCTCTCTCTCTCTCTCTCTCTCTCTTTCTCTCCCTTATAGTCTCCAGAAGGTAGGAAATTGCGCTGCCTAAATTGACTGAGAATAATAAAACCTGTGATTTTATTATTTTTCGATTTTTCCTTTGTTCAATAACTATTTTCTACCCTTGTTAGTCACAGTGTAAGATAAAGTAAGTTTTGTCAACATTTCTTTATAAACTTTTTTCGCTCGGTACACTAACATATTCAAGTTGTCGTAGCTTTCACATATCGAACGACTTTGCTTGCCGAGTTCAATTAGTTGTTCCGCTGCATGATCGTTTTGATCGTTCAAGGCTTTGAGTTAATAAAACGTCGATTAATCGAGCAGAGAAAAAAGCCCGTAGCCTTATCGAACGACGACTCGGGCAAACAAACGGTAAAATCACTCAGGTTTTGGCACGAGACCAGATAAGAAAGTCAATCGAACAGACAGACAGGCGAGTAGCAGCGAGCAAGCAGCATTGGACGCAGGTGTATAGGTGTGCGCGCGCGAGGTCAGAACTTGCGCGCGTCTCGCGCAAGCAACCCCGCGGCGAGCGAGCAAGCGTAGTCAGTCTGTCGCGCCCCGGCTACTAAGGATGTGCGCTGCTGGCACTGCCACCGCTTATAGCTGCACCCGTGTCTTTACCTGTGTGTGCCCGCGTGCCGATGAATATGCTAGCGGCTAGTGCTGAGCGCGACCAAGGTTTTGCTCTCCTTTCTTATCTTTTGATAAGAATTATTGGAAACAACAGCAATCGGAAATCGCCCGTGGGTGGAGCTTCAATACGGCCGGCTAACTTCTTAATATCCAGAGGCTAAACTTTGGCCATTGGCAAACAAGTAAACTCCCTTGCTAACACTTCCCCAGGCGAATTCGAAGAAAGTACGACGAAACTTCGGCTGCCGGGCTACGCACGTTTTCTAGAGCTCTCAGTGTCGGATCGTCCTCTCTGTCTCTGCCTCTTTCGCTCGTCCTGGCTTCTACTTAACTCACGCGCGCGCACACCAACGCCTGATCGGCATGCTCAAGTTCTGCTCGCCGGCACAACGCCGGCGCAACTGTAATGCTGCTACCAGCGCTTGTCTTACTTACACGGTGAGCTGCAGTATCATGTAAACAACTTTTCATATGTACTTCACGTTTTATTTATATTTCTGATGCATGCATATCAACTTGTATAGATGTTCGTGGAGATGTCTTATTTATTAAGCAACCTTGCGTTAATCCTTATTTGAGAGCTTTGCTGAACAATGAGGTGCAGAATATCACATTCCACTCGGAAATTTACCTTCCGAATTCCAAATGCGAAATACATGATCTATAGTCCATCAATATTACATCCGTTGTTCAATTGAGATTTTTACCGAGATTCAATGTATATCCTCTACCAATTCGATTCTTCTTATACTACGATTCGGTTATTAATTGTCGTCTTTCAATTACGATCTGATGGCAAACTATTGGAAAATGGCAGATGAACGATTGTCCAACAAATAATACCATTTAAAACAGTTTCGTTAATTTGTATTACTCTTTATCGCAGCAATATACCCAACTAATATAATGTTTTTCAATCATCATATATACTACATAAAATCGGAAGCTCATATATAACAGTAGAAGCTGTAGCGTCTGACTAAAAACGACTTTTATCACTTGGCTGATTGTTCCACTGGATAATTTACAATGTGATAGTTCATAATCCATTAGCTACAAACTATGTTAGTTAACTTTAGAATTTCAAACAGCATGTTGCAACGTAATTCGAGAGAGAAAGAGAGAGAGAGAGGAAGAGAGAGAGAGAGAGGGAGAGAATGGGAGAGTGAAACAGAGCTCTCGAGAGCGCCTGCTGGTGAGGCAACCCGCTTCGCGCAGCTGCACGCGGTCACGTCATTTGGGCGGGGCATATTCTCTCTCTCTCTCTTGCAACTGTGCATTGTGATTTTACGAGCCAGCCTCGTTATTTGCTAATAAGTCGTTTCATTTGCGGCCGCTATCACAGTCAGCGTCATGATTTAAGGCGCTGTTGCCGAGTTGCACCAAGCTTTTAGCGCGATTCCTAAAAATGCTTCCTCGCTTAGATACACTCCACTGTTCGCAGATTTCTCTTCGGCGCGCTGCTGCGATGTTACACGGTTAACTTTGTAATCTATTTTATGGAATATCTAACGTTGAGAGGCGAACAGCCGAATCTATTTTGAATTCCAAGTCATGAAAAATGAACGCCAATCGAAGGAGGTCGTAGCAAAATTCCCTCGAACCCGAAGGCCATGACAACGGGCATCAAGAAAATAAATGATCCTTGTCGCGCGCACCCAACAACACACGCGTATAAATAACCCAACAATGCAAACAGTGTAATAATAGTCATTTGTGCATTGCGTATTTTTAGGTGAATCCAGGCAGCAAAGCAGCCCAGCAGGGAGTGAGAGAGGGCGACTTGATTAGCAGTATAAACGGCAAGAGTACGCGCGAATTGACGAACGTCGAAGCTCACGGGATCCTGCGCAACGCCGGCGACAGCCTCAAATTGGGACTGAATCAGTGAGTTTCTCTTTCCCTCCATTAGATCCGCGGCTCAAGCTCTATAAGCGGCACACTACGGGTTCCGCGCGCCCGTACTGCGCGCGTGCGTTGCAACTTGACTGGTTACTCTCCAGTACCAACCAGCACCTTTCGGCCGCGTTTGCTTTCCAACGCTAATACGGAGTTTTATTCCGTCGCGAGAAATAACAACTGACTGGATCGCGCTCGATGAACTCGCTGCAACACAGTTCGCATTGTTTCGCGTGTAAAAGCTGCGCGCTGGCTTAAATGTTGAAAGTTATCGATTAGCTAATGTACAATCGCTGTATACCCACGATAACGATCCGTTGCATCTGACAGCTCTTAATTAAGGCTCAATAAAATACCCGCTACTGACAGAACTAATCAGGCTCTCGCACACAATAACGAGCACACCGTTCGAGCGCATCGAAATATAATTCATCATTCGATAGCCATTATGCGCGTGTCCGCGCCGACCGTGAGGCGTATCCCGACAAAAATAGACGCGCGCTGTGCCGATGACAATTGAAAGTTGAATATGAGACACAGGCGTGAATGCCGCGAGAAAAATCGCAGGAGCGGCTCGAATCGTCGGGATTAGCGTGAGCTCGCGTTAAAAACGGAAACGCGCCGATGGAGAGCGGGGTCATGACGCGGAGTGAGGGAGCATGACGTCACGTCAGATGTGCTGCGCCTTGCGCTTTCCGGCGCGCGCGATCAATTGCACGGCTCCATAGGTCCGAGCGTGACAAAACGCTTTCGCGCTTTTTGAATTGCCCGCCATTTTGCCGCCGCCTTTTCCCGGTGGCAAAACGAGGAAAGTTTTTTATAAGGTCGAATGGGGATGGTGGTTCGTCGATCTGTTTTATTTATTTATTTACCTTCTTATTTTTTTTCAGGGAAAACGGATCGCCGAAGAGACGAATCTACAAGAGCAGCCTTCAGGAAAATACTTCAATCGAAACGATAAAAAGTAAGTGGACGACGCGCGGAGTCGTGCGCGAGCACGGGTAAACATTCTACTTAAACCTCTGTGCTACCGGTGTGTTTGCAGAAGTAACGACGACAAAAACGACGACAACGAGCATAATCTCGACGGAAGCGAAGAAAAACGGAACCGGTAAGTGAGCTTGGAACGTCGATAATCTATGCAGCAGTCGTGTATCACGTCTGCGCGCTGCTATAGCGATAATTTTGCAGCTTGTCGAGCTGCAAACCTAATTTGCCCGTAATTGAATTTCGCCGCGTAAATTCAGCAGACGCCTGCGAGCAATGCAAAATTTCCTCCTATAAATCACGTACACTTTAACGTGAGAAAGAAAAAGAAAAAGAAGAGCGAGAGGGAGAAACAAGAAAGTACACCGTTACGTGTAGCGATTCCTCATTGACGGGGCGTTTGGCATGGAGAATCAGGCTAATGGAATATTTAGAGGTATCGCGTGGCCGACGATTACCGATCCAGGAAGCGCACACATAACGGACAGAGAGACTATCCCTCGGCTTCTTTTTCTCCCTCTCCTTGATATATCTCGGGAGGCGGGAACTTGCGGCAGCGGCGGCGGCGTCACGCTAAGCTGACTACCGGCAATGCAAGCGACGCAAGTGATGCTCGCTGCTGTTGTACGTCGCGCGCGCGTCCAAGCGTCAAACGGCAATATTTTTTTACTGCTCGTGCAATCGACGAGTAGGCAATGTCGCGCGAATGACGATGAACGCGGTGCACGTAGGCATGCGTGCGCTCAGACTTATAATTTTTGGTATTCAGAGCAAAGTTAATGCTCATTAGCCTGCGAAATTATCGGCCTGCTATAATCTTAATTTTTTCTTATCCTTAAACAAAGTTATTTGTGCACCACTTTCTAGACAATTATTTTCAGTTGAATGACTAGAAAAGTTACTAAAAGTAAGAATAAACATTTGGTATATTAGAGTATAGACGAAGCGACACTTTACGAAAACTCATGGAATGCTTATTTAAAAAAATTAGATAAATAATTAGGTGTATTTATTTGTTCTGAAAATAGAAATAGGTATTCAAGCCCGTTCCATTGTGGTCAAAGCGCTATTCGCCACACCCACTCATCGGCAAGAATTCTCGACCTTCCTCCCAATAACCTATCGTCACGACTCATGCGTATACGTTTCCCCCAAATGGGCTCGTCGTACAATTAGCTGGAATCATCGCAATCCTTAATCGGTCTCGAATTAAAGCCAACAACAAGACTATCTTACTTGGAGCAAAGTAAAAAAAGCAAAAGAGAGCGGGGAGGGGGAAGGGACAAAGAGAGAACTGGAGGAAGAGAAACAATTGGATTGACATCCGGGCAGAAAAAGTGAGTCGACCGTTAAAGAATCAAGCGCTTCGCTCTCCCACTTTCCCCCCGCACCTGCCGCCCACGTGTAGGCTTGCATGGCGGCACACCCTAGCCAGCCACTTAAGAGCCATCGCTTTCCTTTCTTCTCTCTCTCTCTCTCTCTCTTTCTCTCTCTTGAGAGTGAGAGAGGGAGTCGTATACTACAAAGGAGTTCAAGCTCGCGCGCTCTCTCCCCCTTTTGTCAGTTCGCAACGGCGCGACTTTCGAGGACGACGCGCGCGACTCTTGGTTCGCGTTCGGCATATATCTCTGTACGCTTTTTTTCTCTCTCACTCGTACCGCAAGGTGATTTCATTGTTTGTTTCGCTGCAAACGATTGAAAATCATGCGTCGCGCCGACGAATAGGGCTTACGTAACGAATCGCACGCGCCACAAACAATGAAGTTCTTCGCGTGCTCGCGTTGTCTCGACGACGAGGCGGCGCAGAAGCCGAGCAAGAGTTGCCGACGCCAGCCGCTCCAGGAGATCAACAATCCGCTGGTGATGACCAAGCGACCCAGTCCCACGGTTCTCCAGCCCAGTCCGCCGACTTCGCGCAAGAAAAAGGAGTACCCATCGTTTATGGCTGCTCTGGCTGCATTGTCGCGCCGACCGAGGAAACGTTCGTCGTCGTCGACGCTGCCATTGAAGAACGCGAGGAGCCGAGTGATCGAGCCACCGGTGCGCCAAATGGTAAGGCAGCGCCCGGCCTCGCGCACCCAACGGCTAATTAAATTGTACGAGGATCGCGCCGAGGGCAATTATCGTAACGCCGAGTTTCTCATCGAGCCGCCTGCCAGCTTCAGCGGAGACGATAGTACCGAGAGCCACCAGAATTTCAAGAACAAGCTCAACACCCTCGACTTCAAGAAGATGAATACCGTTGGCGTGGAGGCTGATCCACCCTCGATCTACCGCAAAAACAGCTACGAGGAAGCGCAACCGGTGCCGATTTGCAAGTTCGCCAGGAAGACGCTGCTCGAGGATTTTTTGAAGGAACGTGTGCGCATCGAGCAAACGATGATTGACCTATTGAATGGCCGTGACCCGGGCTCGCTGGTCTTGAAGAAGAGTCGCAACGACGACAAGAGGGTGCGTTTCAAGGAAGCTCGCGTGGACGTAAGCTCCGAAGCCAAGGTCAACCTGACCGAAGATGGCCGACTGGAGCAAGGGACCGAGATCAAGCTTCAAGTGGACCCTTGTGCCGAAGTCGAGGATTTCTACGTGGAGAGAAAGACGACGTACATGAAAGACAAGAAAATCGAAGACAAGGCGCTGGTATTGAAGATCGCCGCGAAGGACCAAGTCGACGCCGCAGCGCTGACCGGTAGGGCTCGAGACAAGCAGATGGTGTTTCGTAATTTTGGGAAGTTGACTTTGTAGGCATTTTGCCTCTCGGTCGAGGATAACACATTTTCACGTAGACTCACCGAGGATTTCGATTGTTTTATTGAATTATTATTTAGCATGTTGTTGGTCTAATGGCACGTTTAGAGTTGTTCCAATTTTCACCGATAATTGTTTGTCCGAGTTGATAAAATATTTAACATCCCTCTTTAATCATATCAAACCTATATATGAATCTTACTAATTTTTCAGAGAGACTTTCCGGTTACAATAACTTAGTGAATTCGTTAACCTACTTTGACTATACGTTAAAGTTATCGTAAATTGTGATTTTACTGTTAATGTAGACTAGCAAATATCATTAATTTTAATGAGAGACGTTTTCAATATCATTATTGAACAAGCAATGCTTATTTAACAGACAACGAGCAATTATAATTATCCACATGTATTCCATTGAAAATAAACGAATTTTCATACTAAATCGAATAATTATTATTTACTAGTTGTGTTAACAGTTGGATCATAATCTAATAATCACGCGCTGGCAGAAATTTCCCTCGCAATCAGAGTTATTACTCGACACGGGTCGATCGTCTTCGTTATTGGTAGATGCATTAGTACGTTTTATTAAAAGCGCCGTGGCGCTGCAAAAGCGCTATAGCTGCAAAGCCGAGCCGCAAGCGCGTAATAAAACAAATCGTTTGCGCCTGACCGCGCGATCAAAGGCCAAATCATAGCGCGCGAGTAGGCATATCTAATGGGTTTTGTGACGCTCGGCTAGAAGCGGTCACTTGGCGGATGATTCGATGCGGAGTGTAATGCAGCTGCGGAAATAACGAAGCCCCGGCCGAGCGTCGCGCGCCGGAAATTGTTCCTTTCTCGGGCCGTCCTCGCTCTTCGCTTTTCGCGCATGTGACCACGTCGATAAGCCCCGCCGGTACGTAAAAGCTTTATTTGCTTTTTATTTATATTTGATCTTTATCCGCTATTGGAATCGCAGCGAGGGGGCTACGAAGTAGCCACGGGTGATAAGCTATCGTGATCTCGCGATAGCGAGTCGCCGGTTTAATAAATCATGGAAATTCAGTGGCGCGGCCGATCGGGGGGAAAGGGATGCCGAGACCACCGCGCGCACACACACTCGCACCAGAGTACGCAATGAGCCGCGTCGGATGGATAGCATCGATTTCCAGGCGAGCATGACGTGAGCGCGCAGCCACCCTCGTCTGCCTCTGTGCTCGACCGCCCCCGTTTGTCTTCGCGTGCTATTCAGCTCGTCTCCCCGTCGCAGCCGTATCTATGACTTTCCCGAGGACCGCCGCGGCTGCGGCTTTGTTGCTTGCGTCTCCGAGAGAATTCGCTACTCCGCGCCGCTGCAGCACGCGCGTCCTCCGTGCGCTCGGCGTTACTTGGGAACTCATCGCCGGATACGCACCGTGATTATGAATGCATATATAGGCTGCGCTATTCACTGAAGTTAGATGCTGTCTGTGGAACATTATATAGCGGCGTAACGATCGGACGGTATCGCGTAGACTTTGAGGCATGAAACTCGATCGAATTGGGACGCTCGACTCATCTGTTCGACGGTCGCCGATAAATATTCGATACTCTGCGTTGTCGGCAGCCGTTGTCGACGACGTGCATTGTTTCAAAATGAAATCTGGCGAGCAGGCGCAGCGTCGCGCTCGCTAAATGGCCGCGGCCATTCAGAGAGCAAATCACGGTGGATTTGGTTAAGCATCGACAGGCCAGTAGCAATCGGGCCGGGCCCTGAATCTCCCACGATTCCTCGGGCGTCAGCGCACTGCACCTATGCGCTCTCGGCCTAGAAACCGCCGTGCACACAAGTGCGGCGCGTACAATGCACGGCAAATGCGCGCACACACGAGCGCCACGTAGGTGTACGTGCGCGCGCGTACGTATCGAGAATCTCCGCGTGCATGGGCGCGGTAGTAGGCGTCATGGTTTGGCTGGGCCGAGCCCAACATTTCCGTGATTCTCTCTCTCCCACTCTTTGACTACGCTGCGCGCGCTTTTTTTACAACGCTCGTGTCGCATTGTCAAACGACCGATCGGGCGACGTTTCTATGGGACGAGAGCGATTTGGTCGAGCGCCACCGATATTTTTGTCGCATCGCGCGCGCTCTCTCTCTCTCTCTCTCTCTCTCTCTCTTTCTCTGCGTTACTCGAGAGCAGTTCAATTGGGTAATCGTGCGTTCGTTACGTCATCGAAATCGCGCTGAAGATTACTTGCCATCGAGGGCTTCCATTATTTCTTGCACCGATGATTGGAAAGCGAGTAGAAAGAGCCGTGGTGTGACCGTAAGGGTTGTACGCGAGGTAACTTCCTTTCCGTAACTCGGTTAAATCGATAGCCTCGTGCACGAGAGCTGCACCCTCGTTGTCGTCCCACTGCAAAGCACTGCACCGGCTGGCTGTCTCTCGCTCCGAGAAAGAGAGACGCAGGCTAATTAGGGAGTCACTCATCCCTCTCTCGAAGCGGCACCGCAGTGGCATTCTCTGTTTCTCTCTCGATCGCAATGATCGTCGCGCGGATTTATTTCGAGAGGCAGAGATATCGCACGGCTAATCCGGCAGTTATTAATGTAATTGGCAAATTAGGTGTGGGGGAAAGGGGCATGGTTTAAGTGCACTCGGGCGGTCGCTGGTCCCTCCGGAGACTCCGACGCGCGTTTGCTCAGCGAAATTATCTAATTGACCGGTCTGATACACTAATGCTGTTTTTAACATAGCGCTGACATTACGTTTTTATCTTTAGTAGCGATATGGCTTTCCAGATTATTACGGTTTGTGGGCTTCGTTGTAACGGAGACGTCCATTGGTCCTAATATTTCGAACCGTACGTGACGATAAGGAGATAACAGAAGCGCGCAGGCGGGACGTCGCGAAGCACTCGCTTAAATTTTCTTTTCAAAGCGCGCGCAGCATCCCACGCGGTAGAGTATCCACTGGCAGTGGGGCAGTGTCAACTGCCAATCATCCGTGATAAACGCTCGTCGCGCTCAACGACGAGTCTCCTTAGTAAATGCGCGCGCTCGCGATTTAATTATTCAATCAGTTGCCTCGCCGTAAGCTTCGCGTCGAAGCGCGTGACATAACATAAAAGAGGTGCACGAACACCTGGGCGGGCGCATGTCCAATTGGGTGGGGTCCCACTCGTATTGTCTCGGAAGGAAGGAAGTACACACACCAACTTGTGCGCGAGTGTGGGTAGCTAGCAACAATTGTTTGGCTTTTAACGTCGCCCCACACAGCTATATAGGAATTTATCAGCCGATGCGAGTAGTGCGCGATCGCTCGCAGTTCAGTCTGCTTGTCGTCCGGTTAAACTCGCGCGAGCACTTGTGTCACAAGTCGATCGACGCGCTTTATTATTGCCGAGCTCCCGCTGCCGCCACTGCTGCTGTCGCCTCTTGACATCTTGGCTTTTTTTATCTGCTGTGAGTGATTGGATCGAGTAGGTGCGCTTGTTGTTGAGAACTTGTTGATGCCGTGGGAATTCTGACGTTACTTACGCTCCAATGTGAAGTAAGTGACAGGGAGAATGCGGGTGACTGTTTTTTTTTCATAACGAGTAGCGTTGTTAAAGAAAACTAATTACCAAAGCGATTGAACTTCAATTTTACTCTTGGCAACGAATTTTTTCCGTTGGCCGTACCGCAATAATTTACATCGTACACTTTTGAATACCAAATTGCACGTATATTAAAAGCAATTTACAATAAGATATAACATGGAACTTCGTATGCATACAACCACGTACGCACGCAATCGCGCATACGTAAACACACCCATGACCTATACTTTTGGCCAATTACTCGGACACCGAAACCCACGTACTTCTTCACGCTCGCGTACCTCCCGAAAACACATTGGCACAAAAGACGTGACAGACGCACGCACACCACACGTACGCATAAGTACATCGGCAAGCGCGGTGGGGAGCTGACGTACGGGAATGAGAGAGAGAGAGAGAGAGAGAGAAAGAGCGGGTGCATACTTCGTCGTGATCAGTGGCTGCCCGCGATCCGAACACCCCGCGTACGCGACTCTGGCACGATTCCTCAGAGTCACATGCGCAATACCGCCGCTATATATACACCTGCGTGTCGCTACAGAGTTACTTTTTGTACAGCTTCACTTATTTGCGCTCTTAGCCGGAATGGCAGGCTACTTTGCGCGATAAGCCGGCAAACAATCGTAACAATTTCAATATCAATCTCGAAAGCGATTTGGCAAGTAACGTTGATTCAAAATCATGATATTGTTCGTTTGCAGATGCGGACAACGCGAGAAACGAATCGAGCTATGAGAATCAGAACGGCAGCTTGAAGAAAGAGTCACCGAGCCAGAGGGACGAGAGCGAGCAGAGTAAGTGCACGCATTGCTTTGCTTAGAGACAACTCACGCAACGCTTTGGCCAAAATTAAACCTGGAAATTCGTTCACTGCGTACTCTCCCGCACGCCAGGTATCGCCTGCCACCTTGATCGCGGCTAGACAAGCTATTCTCGTTGCGTTCGCGTTTTCGTTCACCTGTGATCGGCACGCGCGCGACTCTGTCTCGGCGAGACTATATCTCGATCTGTGCAACGCGCGCGGCTACAATTGTGGCTTGATTTTGAATGTTCGAGCGCCCACTTCACGCCGACGCGAGCACAATGCACCACTTGAGAGAGCGGCGGATTAGACGAGACTCATCTCGTTAGAAGCTCGGCGGACGTTGCACGTCATCGCGAATCAAAATCTCGGGTTTTCCCTCTGATCGCGACGCTTCTCTTGTTCGGAAATACGCAGCTTTCGCCGCGTCCGACAGTAGCTGTTTTTATTGTTAATAGTACTGACAGTCCTCCTTCGTTTGTTCCTTTCTTCGTCACGTATCGCACGAGTCGTTTGAAGTGACTTACTAACTACAAACTTCTCTTTTTTTCGCTGAGAAAAATATTTCCGACTCTTCCATCTCTTCGCCTTTAAAAGCCAATTACTACCAAAATATTTTTCTCGGCATATTTTGAAATATCTTCGTTTTGTGGTTTGAAGAGTGATAGCATCCTCAAACAATGGGAAAACAAACCAAATAGCACGTTCAATTCTCTGCGTAAGAACCCGTTTCACCCCCTAATTCACCACCTCACTTGGACTACGCAACCGACAGCGAATCGTCAAGCCGCCCGAGGATGCCTTGCGGCTCGAAAAACCGGCGAAATCGTCGCCACAGACAGCGCAAGAGACTGCCGCTGCCCTGCATAAGCACTTGGCCGCGCGATGACGAGCTCGCCGACGTTGCCGAGGAAGAATCGCCACATGAGAATGCAGAGCAAGTGTCGCGAGCAAAATCACTGGCGGAGACAAAAATCGATGGGGATACGTTGACTATCACGACGGAAAAGATGTGTCCCGAGGAACTGCCGTACCTGGCGAACTTGTCGTCGGCGAGAAGTAGAATGCTAAAAAGGCACAATCGGCTCAAGATCGAGAAGAAAACTATGCAGACGGATACGCAAATTTACGAGGTGACGACGATAAGGAACGCGATGCCCCTGGAGGCACGACTCGATCACATCGTCGGAGTTGGCATCGTAGAAGCTGGCCTAAACGGCAAGGAAGATCTACCCAACGGCAAGCAGCTTCCTAACGTAACCGTGACAGAGCCAGCTGAGCTCGTGGAGCCGTTGCCTAAAGATCTCTCGGAAAAAGTCGAGAATTTGCCGGGTGCCAAAGAATGCTGGACCGTGGCGATTCCAGCGAAGCGGTTCGACTTCCTGGAAATTCAGGAGGTCAGCGAGAGCGAGTCGGACTTCGAGACCACGACTGCACGGCCCCAAGCTATCGTCTCGGAAGCCGAGTCGGACGCGGAGAGGGAATCGAGCCTCGATAGACTGAGAGACGCGAGCAGCGACGACGAGTCCATGCCGTGCGAGGTTGAAAAGAAGCTGCGTCACTTCATCGCGGGATTGAAATTGCCAAGCTCGGCGTGCGACGCCAACAAAGTGGCCGAGGGCCGCGACTCGTCGCGTCGGAAGAGAGCCAGCGCGCCGCTTGGCTCGCAGTTGAGTCAAGAGCAGAACAGGTGCCTCGACATTATCGAGGAGGAGGAGGTTGAGGCGCGAACCGAGGACGGAGGCAAACAGCATATCCGCGATTTCATTAACGAGGAGATCGGCAAGTTCCATCGACCGCGCCGAGACTTGCGCAGTGTGCTCCGAGATAGAAGATGTTCCGCCGAGTTGGACGACGTGCAAACTTGCGCGGACGCAGACGAGATTGCCGGAGTTGACGAGACAAGGCTGACTCCCGCCGCGCAGTGCAGCGAGATATTGCGAAAAGGTGACGTTAACAAACAGGGCTGTGATAATGGTGTGGAGGACGTGACGTTAGAAGAAATCATTGTCGTGTCAGGCACAGCAGAAGCCAAACTGAAGGCGGCCATGGAGGAAGTGGGAGAAGACAAAACGACCGTAGCGAGGGACAAAACTAAAACAGACAGTACGTTTTCTCAGAGCGAGAATGTCGTAACTTTCATGAATCTTGTTCACAGTTTGACGGAAAGCGTGATTAACGATGTTAGAGACGAGAAAACTAACAAACGCGCAGCACTCGAAGAAGAGCACCATGATTTTGAAGGAAAGAAGAAGTTCACCGAAGAAATTAGTGTCGTTCAATCTAGTCGTGATATCAACGGCTTCGTTAAAAAAGAAAAACATGATAGACCCTCGGAGGACGGCAGTGCGGCTTCGGAAAATGCTGGTACGTCTGAGGAGCTAGAGCCTTTTAAGGAAAATCTCGAGCAAGAAAATTCGATAGAGGAGGATACGACGCAGGTTAAAAATAACGAAGCCAATAACAAGATAGATTTAGAAGAAATAGTTATACACAGTCCATTGCAGTATGACTCAGACAGCGAAAAAGCGAGAATAACCAACGAAATTGCTAACAGCGATGACGCATGGGGTATAAATAACGAAGCTCAAATTATAGATCAAACAAAATTACGTAGCAGCGACACTATTTGCATCGACGAATATGCAGGGCTTATCAACAGCTTATCAAGGGAATATGAAAACATAAATATAATCCCAGTTTCTCAAATCGCGCAAGGCTTGCCGTGTGAAAGTGAACCTGCCAGTCGAAATGATGGAAACGCTAAAGAAATTTCTTATTCCGCTAATGTTGAGCACGAAGGAAATACTGATAAAACGGTCAAAGTAATGCAACATGAGCAGAACTCCAATGCTATCGATGAAACGTCAAATGTACAAAATATGAATGCAAATGTAAATATTAATGATATCGTTGAGGAGGGCGATATACCTATCAATTTGGAAGCAGCAACTGAACGAATAGTCCCAATGTCAGCAGTAGATGGGCTCAACAGCGAGGTGGATGGAATTTTTAAATTCGATAGCGTTTATAAAAATGGCACCGAAAATTCACTGCCTCCATGGTTAAAGAGACATCAAGAAGGCACGATACCTGCTCAATTGCAAGAAATAGCCATTTTGATAGCTGAAACGGAAAGTAAAATAGGCAGTAAAAATGACAAAGCTATACGTTGCTCACAAATAGAAAGTTTGAAATGTAATGGAAAATTCGATGAATTGAAATCTGCAGAGCATTTAATACCTATGAAAATAATTGATACCTATATTGCCAATGGTCCATGTAATAATATAAGAAAAATAGCTAATGAGCAAGTAAAAAACGTGGAAGAAAGGACGATTTCTATTAAAGGGAAAAATGAGACAAAATCAGAAGTAAATAAAAACTCGCTTGAAATAAATTCGGTACGTGTTATTCCCGTGCAGGCAGAGAGGACACTGAATAGTAACGGAGATCATAAGAAGCGAGATTCTGAAGCAACAGAGAAGAAAGAAGGCGAGGAGCTTGTTGTACCTATCCAATTAAATAGCAACATATATAAAAGGCCGTACGGACCAGAAGTTGCCGAAGAATTGAATGAAAAAATCAAAGAACGAATAAGTCCTGTACAATCAGAAGATTGGATCATAAATATAGAACGTGATAAGATTCGAGAACGCGAACGAGGTAGAGAAGAAAGTCAGAGCAGAGAACGCCGTATTCCCATAAAGTTGGACAATGGCTTGAGAGAAAACCAAGAGTTTTTCGTAAAAAATGTAATCCAATGTGGTATTCGTCAACAATTAGAAGAACGTATCGTGACGATACCAATCCAAGTTTCATTAGGGCCGTCGAGATTTCAAGACTCCACGGATGCCGTGCAAATGGACGGATCGTTACTGCGAACGGAAAACACACACCGCGAGCAAAGCATATTTATAAGTAGATCACCTCCACCCCCACCTGTTCGATGTCAGAGGCCGATGAACGCTCCAAACTGCCACCCGTCGCACGATTACATTCACTTCGCCTTCGGTCGATTCCATCATCGGGCGTTCGACGCCATCAAACAAAGCAATAACAGCGAAATTGCCGACCTCGTAAAAGCTCTACTAAGCCTTCTGTCGAGCAACGCAAGCACGAAGCAAGACGTACATAACCTACTTGGGCGTTACGACCTTGAGTCGCTGCCCCAAAACACTCGCTGCATAATCGACGAGTTTCTGGCGCCGTCTTTGCCTCGAGGCTTACGCAACGCTAATAAAATTGGCAGTGGGGCGAGTTTTGAAATAGCGTCGTCGGCCGTCAGCCACCCGCAGCAGGAGGAAGGGGAAAGTCCACCACCACGACCGGCACTACCTCAGACGACGTTCTCGGGCGGTAGGCGAACGACGGCCGAGCTCCTGGAGCGGCGGCATGATGATCAGTCCAGGGTCGTTGGAGGTGCGCCAGGCAACAAACAAGACCACGACGCCAAGACAATAGCCAGCGACGAGCATCTGTACTACGTGCCCCTCGGTCGTGCCAATAATAGCCGGCGTGACGCAGACTATGCAGCGCCAGCTAAGTTCAGCGACTCGCTGAAGGACCTCTGCATCAAAAAGATTCTGTCGATGCCCCGCGGCGAGGCGCTCATCAGGCAGATTGCCTCTGCTCGCTGCTTCGAGTCCGATGTGAACGACAAGATGGGCAATCAGACGTCCAAATGCTGGACCGGCGTGCCAACCAAGGACGACCCAAAGGTGCTCGTCTGCTTTTCGCCGGCTCAGCGCCAGTCGGAGATCAAAACTTCGGCGGACAACCTGCTGGACTTGCACCGGAAATTCATCGATCGGCACGGCTACCACCACGAGCATTCGCACGCGGTCCTCCCGGCCAGATACTTCGTGGACGTGGCTCCGATGGACAGAGCGAGAGACGAGGACCGAGTGGAGAGCAGCCGGCTCCTGAGCATCATCAAAGAGAACCCTGTTTCTCATCAGCGCCAGAGCGGCATGGTGGACCGACTGCAGGCGAAGCGCTTGAGCGACTGGCTGAGTCTGGCGAGGCGACCGGGCGACGATAACGCCGAGTGGGCGTCTGGTCCGAGCGCCGATAGCCGGCCGCTGGCGCACTCGACACCGCCGCGCAACGCGACGCCCGACTCGCGCGGGAGTCCGATTCCCTTCGGCAGCGCTGTTATCGGCAAATCCGCCGTGCGAGTCTCCAGTCCAGCGCCGAGGCCGTCGAGCGCGATGACCGGCGCGATGACCGGCGCGAGCTGCCAGCGCGAGCCCCGCCACGTCAACTCGGCGCTCATCGTCGCGGACAGGCCGCGAGTGCCCGCGCCCGTCAAGAGGCACGTCGTTGTCGACAGCGACTGCATAGACAGACGGAGCATCTTCGACCGAGGACCGGACACGCCCAGGAGTGGCAGCGGGCTCGGGCGAAACCCGGACAGCCCCGAGCAGGCGGTTGCCAGCGAGGTCTTGGACAATTTGGCGCAGCTGCAGGCTGGCACGAAGGAGCAGATGGACAGGCACAAGAGGTACTCGCTGCCGCAGGAGTACTTCGACCGACAGCTCAAGTACATCGAGCGCTTGGAGCAGCAGCTGAAGAGCGTGATCGCCGCCGAGGAGGAGGAGAGAAGAGCGGCCGAGACGTTTCAAAAGGAGCTGGCGCTGCGGAAGATGCTGCGTGGGAAGCCTCGAGCCTACACTGTCGCCGAGTGCAGCTTCCTCGACAATCCGTCCGAGAGGGCTCGGCCGCAGCAAACTGGCCGTGAGGGCGCGCGCGAGCACCCGTCGATGCAGCTTGCGAGCAACCAAGTCGACGCCGACGCCGACGCCGAAGAGTTCGAGGGCATGGAGGACTCGCGCGAAACGACGAGCGAGGCGATCGAGCGACGCGAGCCGCCTGCACTCGGCGCGACAGCCGACTCCGTGTTAGAGGACCTCGCTCGCCACGTAAGCGAGCCGATGACGAGGAGACAGCAGCAGAGGCCGCTATCGATCGCCGCGATTCCGACCAACGGCGAAGTGTTTCGCCGACAAATGTACAACGAGTACGTGCACAGAGTCCACGAGCGCGAGGAACGTCGCCAGCACAAGCTCATCAAGATCAGCTCGCGCGCCGATCTGCCCTCGAAGCACAGCGAGACTACGAACACGGTCGAGCAGGAGTTCATCGAGAGGGCAAAGAGTCGACTGCACAAGCAGGGCATCAAGCTGGACGACAGCGGCGAGACCGAAGGCGCTAGCGCTGGGAGTAGCGGCGGGGAGTCCGCCAGCGTCAAATTCCTCGTCGACGGCCAGGAAGTGAAGGACGCGCGGAATCTACCTAAACACCTACAGGAGTTCCTTAGGCTATCTGACTGCGAAGACAATGAGAAGGCCGGTGAGTCGCTCGCATTCGCCTCGATCCACTCTTGGCTCGTTTGCAGTGCTTGCAGTGCGTGTGATAAGCGAGCCGACTACGCTATACGTACCACTACTGGTGCTGCTGCTGCTGCTGCTGCTACTGCTGCTGCTATTGGAGTTTGTCAACTAACCGTCACTAACACAGTTACGTCAAGAGATTGTCGGTAGGCGTATCCTTGTTCATTGGTTGTCTTATCGTATCGTTCAAACGGCTATTAACCAATTTTTTTAAGCAGTCGCGCTCCGTAGCATTTTCGTGTGGTTGAGTTTGGCTGTGCGTTAGTACTTATTAGCATTGTGATATGGCGAGTGCAAGTAAGATATACGGATATTGCAAATTAGTCTTTTCTTCTTTTTTGATGTTTTAACCTCTCACCCGTCGATAAATTTCCCATTATTTTTAAAAGAGAACAAAAACAGTTCAGTGCCCATAAATTCGTTCGAGGCAATCTTCAGGTTAAAAATCAGCCTCTCGGTAAAGTGACTGCCGGATTCATGTTTTTCACATAACGTAAGTGTTTCACGCGGTAAAAACTTGATTTTGCTTTTCGCGAACCACTTCTGAAAGCGCGTCCCGGCCCGTTTTCCTCGGTCGTCTCGACGAAACATATCGCACGGATTATTCCAAGCCACCTTCCCGCCTTGTAAACTGCTCCAAAACATCGTTGCGTAACCACTGCGGAGAGAGAAAACAAAAACTCGGCGTTCGCGGGCTTCGCTCCGTGCCAACAATTTCTCGCGTGCCGCTCAAAAAGAGAGAAGTGAAAAATCCAGCTGAAACAAAAGAAAACTAAGTCATTCCGAAAGCTCACCTCTTACCTGCCTGACGTCTCAAGGCGAAAAGAAAAACCAAAAAAGCTCCGACAGCCGAGCTTAAATTTCCCGCGGCGAGAGAGAGAAAATCTGGCTTGCGGCGAGTGCGTGCTTGGGAAACTATATTTAGGGTCTCTCGAAAAATAGGTCAGCGTAGTGGTAGCGGCTGGACGTCACGACGCGCGGCTATCCCCCGTTTTACGGTGCCGACTTGGTTTCTCTCGCTCTCCGCTCTTTCGCAGCTATTTCCGAACGTTGCGAAAGCACGCGTGCTAGCGGGACAGAGGGAGAGAGAGAAAGCTTAATGGAGGGCCCGGTTCGACGATTACCAAGCTGATGGAAAGCAGATTCCAACGAGACTGGCTAAGCCCGAGGGCTCGATTAGCCCGCCAACGCCTAGATGGATGGCGGCGTCGAACTTCGTCCGGGAGCTCTACTCGACTCGACTCGACTCGACTCAATCCACCCGCTTCGGCTACCGCGCGCTTTTGTCTAATTGATTTCCATTATTGAAAGCCTGCTCCTGCTCTGCTTTATCTTCGTGCAACCTTTTAATTCGTATTACGGATTTCAATTATTAATATTCTGCCAACCAAGCCAGAGATTCCATAATTATTATTGTCGTGTGGAAATCAAAGTATCCAGACCATTAGTACGTTTAGTATTCACGAAGCGGAGGGATATGGAAATTCGATCGATATGTTCTTGAGTTATACTCTCGATTCGACACTAATTACTTCCAACGTTTAATAATGCCCCTTCTAATCCATTTGTATTTCATTCACCTTTCGGACGATTTTTTTTCTTCTAATTGTCGATATTTCATTGTCTCAATGTTCTTCAATGTTCAATATTATTTTATGTTGTGTTGTTTCATAACAATTCACGTTTGTATAAGTAACTTCTGTGAAATAACTCCATCGACAAAGCGCACAAACGATATAATGATACACTTGTAAATAAAATATGAAATTACTGGCTTTTCTAGCGAAAGATAATTCGCATAATAAGGGGGCAAAAAGCCGAGCTGATAATGCCTCGGATTTGCTGCACGAGATTGACGGTGCTTTGAAGCTCAGCAAGGGATTTTTGCTTGGTAGAGGTTTGTTGGCCTATCTTATTTTTTTCTCTCGCCCTTCTCTCTCTCTCTCTCTCTCTCTCTCTCTCTCTCTCCTCTCTCTTTGTCGCTCTCCCTTCTTTTATCAGCGCTACATTTGCGCAACTGCGCACAATGCCGCGCACGAAAATAAAGACTGACGAACAAACTGCAAAGAATATTGTGATAAGCGGCTACAACAAAGCACATTTTTTTTACCTGCAAATGGGCACCGAGCTGCATTCGTATTCCAACGGAGGAAAAATTAGGTTGATATCTCGTGCAAATTACATTCATCCATCTAGCGCAACAATGTTTCTCTCCTTTCCTCTCGTCTTGTGAAAATTACAGAGCAAGTGTACATAAAGAAAATCAAGATAGAATTGTCGGGAAAGCCATTTCTGGGGTGGGGAGGTGCGGGTAAATAAAGTTGTCGGACATTCGCATATAAAGAGGCTTAATTGCGAGGGGGCAGTAAAGGTTAGTTGCTCCCGTAGGTTGATAACGCGCCGCCGCCACGTAGTGCACGAGCACTGTGGAGCGTGGCGCACTATCGCGCCTAGCTTCTCGAAAGCGCCGAGCTGTATATACGCCCACCGCACACGCTGCTCTGCGGATAAGTGGACTGTTTATAACAGCCCACTAGGACTGCGAGCTACGCCGCGCAGCCGTAGGCTTGCGGGCTTGATGATCCCCGCATGCATAGGATTGACGAGGTAGTCCAGTAATTTTCCTTCCGGGATTGCACTGTGCAGCGACGAAACTTTTCAACCTGTTTACAAGTGATCGTGATATTTCGATTTGAAGACAACTAAATAATCTGCGCCACTTTCTCTGTTCCAGGCGTATTTTATGGAAAACGAAAAATAATCTTTTCAAAATAAAAAACTTACCGACTTGAATGTCATTCGTCTTTTGTAAAACAACAACGCGAAAGAAAATTTCGTTTGCTGCGACCAGCGAATGTTATTTTTTCCAGAGAGAGAAAGAGTTGGGGCGGATTGTTTGGCGATTCACAGTTCGTTTGTCAAGTTCAAGCGGCACTCTTGTTTCAGCGGTAGCCGCGAGAACGAGCATCGTAAAAAGTGCGCTTTACGAATCGACTATTTTTGTGCAGGCAGAGGCGCGCGGTCGTTCTCTCCGTGTCCGAAATAATCGCGCCGACGCGCGAATTTCACGCATTGAAAACGCCAAATAAAAAATCATCCCCCGTGTGCCAGCGATAATCCAGTATATAATGCAGCAGCTATTCCAGTATTTGCGCGCCTAAAGCAAACGAACACGCGCGTATAAATACAGCTATTGAAAGAACAAGATGCCGCGCCGAAAACAAACATGTTTACGCAGCGTCGTGCGCTAAAAGTAAATCCTCGGTGAGAGCTTATGATCAAAGAGAGAGATATAGTCTGAGAAAATGAGTGCCGAAAAAGCTCGGCAGCTTCGACGCATTGTTCTTGTCGGCCTGGTTTTCGAACACTGCGCCGTCGTTTCCGTCATCCGTCACTCTTCGACTTTGCTGCGCGCGACTTCCGCGCCACGCGTATTTACAGCGAGCCTACTTTTAGAGCCTGAACCGCGGTGGCGGCGACGAGTTTGTCTTTGCCGGCGGCGGAGCGAGCTGTCGATAGACTCGATCGGAAGCGGCGAATTTACGCGCGCGCGCGCTGGCTGTATGATGGATTCGAAGGCCTGCGATTGAGACTTGTCGATGAGAGTTTGTGAGGGATGGTTTCGCGAAATATAGGTCAGATTGCTTTCCCCCCGGATGTCTCTAATGCCGTTTGATCGACAGCTTTATCAAGCTCGGAAAACTCTTTCGAATCGCCGAGTTTTACAACGCGCGCCGAAAATTTTATCGAAGACGCCGAAATAATCGGTCCAGATGCGCGCACGGATCTCGAATGGTCCAAAGTCGCTCGACCGATCGCACTCGTATAATTAACTTTCGACGCTTTGGAACGCGCTCAGTGCGACTCTTGATACGAAGCGTTTGGAAAGTCCGCAGAGCGCATCGAACGGAAATTAAGTAGTGGAAGCAGTGCAGTCGCGCACGAGTAGACGCAAATTGATACTCCCCCCCCCCCTCTCCCGAAATAAAAATGAAAAAAAAAGAAAAGAAAAGTGCACGCGTTTCCTTCGTTTTTCCACTCCTTGCGCTCTTTCCGCGTGCACACGCGTCGCGTCCTTCACGCTCTGATTGCCGCGGCGCGGGTACGCGCTCACGTAAGACGCTCCACCTAGACGGATATCGCGTTGCTTTGCTTGCGCGATCGTTGCGCCCGCGCAAGGTCGAGGTTTTTCGCCCTGCCGCCGTTATGCTGAAAATCTCGAGGATAGCGCAATTGTATTCGGAATCAGGACGCGAGAAATTAAGAAAACAGGTTCCGTTAGCTTCGTCGAGATAAGAGGCGAGATAAGAGGCGCGTACGCCATTAGCTCGATAAGATAGAAAATTGCCAGATTTTTATACTGTCTCGTGTCGTGTGAAAAGATGAGTCTTTTGACTGGCGCGTATAGATAATTAAAACAAACAATCGACTCTCGACTGGCGAAGAAAGTGTCACTGGGAGAACGCGCAATCAGGGGAAAAAATTGGCGTCTCCCGCTCTCGACGATATAAACGTAAACGGAAAGAGAGAATGAGATAGAGAGAGAGAGAGAGAGTGAGCGTCGCGACGTCGGGTTACTGCTGCCGCTGCTTCTGGCTTAGTTCTGCGCGCACTCGTGAGCCGAGCGTGTGTCTTGCCATCGCCGCGCCTATTATGAACTGAGACTGCTTCAGTCCGACGCGGCTTCGTTGCTGTTACTTCTCGCGATGCTGGAGAAAAGTGAGTGAGCCCACGTCCTCTGTCGCTCACTAAATGCTTTCGATTACTTACAGTGAAAACAGTTTCTATCTCGGTGGTACTTGAGTGTAGCCAAGAAACTTGGGCAAAAAGTGTTGTTGGTATTTTGTGCAGGGAATTTCTTTGGTGGCTCGCGAAGCAGTATGAAATGAATGAAAAAAAAAGGCGAGCAGTAGCCGAGTCAATTGCGCGTTCTCTCCGCCAGTTGCAATCTTTTCTTTTGACGTGCAAAATAGAGTCGTCTATTCAAACGATCGAGCTTACAACCACAGACGCGCGCGCGCGCGCACAGAGAGAAAGAGAAAAGCACAGAGTCGAGAGTACTCGACTAAAAGCATACCGCGAGCAGCCGAAATTACGCAACCGAAATATCGTGTTACAGTTTCTGCGTCCCTCTTATGTGTACTTTTAAAATCCGCGTATATACCTACCATCTATGAATAACCAATTTGGACGTGGTTGCAGGTGTGCAACAAGCTACTTCTATTTCTCGCACAGTTCGCGCGCACCGATTTCTCAGTTATTGAGACGAGAAATAAAAAAACGTTGTGCAGTCAAAATAAATCTTGTACCGAGATTAAACAACTTGTATCTAGTATTGAATCATCTCGGGAAGCTCAATGCAGAAAGAAAGTCTGTAGTTTCGTTGTATTACTCGACGGAAGTAAAGCGCGCGAACAGCCTTCCCGTGACTACCTTCCATTGGCGGCGCGTTTCAACCCAGCCAATCAACTATGCAATAAAACTGGACGACTTTACGAGAGCGATCTTGAACTTTTTACATTTGTCTCTGGTTAATTTTGGAACACAATAAGCTGCCTGGAGTGTTAATGTGCGAGGGGTATCATTCGCTGAATGACGCTGTAAAATTAGTCGAGAGTTTTCGAAGCTTGGGAAAACTAAAAATAATCCGCGCGAAAAAGCACACGGCCACTAATAATGGATTAACCGGGTATAGCCATCGTGGATTGGCCTTCAGCTTAATCTCCGTGAACTACACGTGTACATTGTTAGACGGAAAAATCGACGCGCCGGTCAAACGAGCGGACGGGAGTTCCGAGAGCGTCAGTAGCGCATGCAGTCACGTAGGCGCCTGTCGCTCGCTCTCGTACTCGCTTCCGTATTAATGAACCGCGAACACTCGCGCGGTTTCGTGTTTGAGCTGCTGCACTCGTCCCAAGGGACTCCACAGCCAAGCGAATGTCTCGCGCGCGCGATAAGAGCGAAAGCTGCACAAAGCGAAGCTTGCAGTGTCGTCGTTGTCGTCGACGTCGTCGTCGCCACAGAGCGAGTTACTTGGTTGCTTTCCCTATAGTCGCTCGGAATTGAATTTTTCGGTAAATGTCACGACAAGCTTGCATTCTGCTGATACTTCGATTCTTTTATTGTCTCTCGATTCTCCAAGCGCTCGTTTGCAGTCGAGTCGTCGTCGTTGATCTTGCGCGATTGGACCGAAGCCGAATTGGAAAGCCATATCCTCTATTGCTTCGATATAAATAGGCGATATTTAACTGTTCAGTGCGTTATATCCGAATTTATGAATACTTGCCAGATATCTGTATTGGTAAACTTTAAAAAAATCATTAATCGCTAAAGTACGTTCTCGGCAAATCCGGCCATAACAAGAGAATCCAGTTATTATAAAAAATGTGGAAAGCCAATACAGAGCGTCTTGAAATTGAACAATGATTAACAGTGTTCGTCTCTTTGATGTTTTCAGAAATGATTGCACCGACGTTTAAAGCGTCGTCGGCAAAGCCAGGTAAAAAAATCACTGATGAAAAAATTATATTACGCAATGCTTGGTTCATCTACGTATTTGCCTCGTTTATTTCAACTTATACACTGCGAGGGAGGGCCTTGTGTAATTAACAAAGTACCGCATTAACTAATGTATTTCCTAAAATATTAGCCGTTTGGAGTGCTGAGTGATGTTGCATTAATACAGTTTTAAGCTAACATTGGTGTGCATAAAATAAAAAGTCTCCGGTTCAACGCAATTCATGAAAATTATCTTTTCATTTGGGACAATAAATTCTCGATAAATCAGTCGGTAATTTTTAATGCCTCAAGCGCAGCTGGACGATTCATAACAAACAAAAAACTTGCTTGGCAGATCGCAAAAAAGAAACGTGCTGTGGTGCGCAAAAGCGCCCCTAAAAGCCCATCAATTAACCTACTTTCGATCGCAGGCGCGCAGATTAACGAGCGCGCGCGCGTCAAAAAAGAGCGACTCGCGTAAACACACACACACACACACACACACACACACACACACACACACACACACACACACACACACACATACATACAGAACGCAAAAAGTCTCGCGTTTTTTTTTGATTTATCGCTGCATTAACAATGCAAATTCAATTACTCGGAAAACAGACTGGAGGTTAAATTTACGTGGCGAGATCGCGAGACGACGACGATGACGACGGGACACAGTCAATTTACTTCCTCCTCGCCCACACGCTTGAGCTCGGCCGACCGATTGCTATTTTCGTCGTTCGCCCGAAATTTGCTTGTTCATAATTCAGATGTGCTTTCAACGGGTATTATGCAGGCCGAAGCTGAAATACGCCGAGATATGGGTGATCGATGTCATAGTGAAATATATGGCGTGGACGGATTCTTTTTTCATTGCTAGGGTCGTCGCGTGAACAAACAGCAGCCGGCGCGTTTTAACAAGAAAAGCAAACGAACAGTTCCACTGGCTGACCCGTTAGCCCAATATCCCCGCGGCCTTTTAACGCCAGCCACGTGTTTACGTTGCTCCATTGTCGCAAGCTCGGAAATGCGTTTGCAAACTTTACGCGATTGCGCAACTTGACGGGGTTGCTGCTGGGCATTGTCGGGCTTTCTCTACTGCCGACTTGCGAAAACTTGGTTGTAACTGGCAGTTCCACGAACGCGCGAGAGCTTTCGCCCGAGATGAACGAGACTCGAAATTATAAGCAGATTTTTGGCAAATCTCCGCACAGAAGCTTATTAAATTCAAAGTCGATTTGGACAAATTTACATCTTTGCGTGGACGCAGCAGTTTGGCAGAGCCAAACAGCCTGGCCGAAACGAAGCCAAGTAAAAACGGTCATTTGCGCGATTGCCGAGCAGTGCCGGCTGAATTTATATATATAAACGTTGATATTTCGGACGTCGCACCTCGTAAATTCGCGTTGTAGGCGTTGTGGTGACTCCCACAACAGTCCAAAGACCCTAATTATTCGGGCCGCTTCACGAGCTGCTGTGAACCCGCACAGACTATTCTGAAAGCTCAAGGGAGCTTCTCGCTGCTTTCGCGTGACTCACCTTATTTAAAAAATCGAGAACAGCACAAGCGACGAGCTTCCTCAGTGTTCGTAATATATTACGCCCGCGGCTTGTAAATACGAGTTTTGCTCTTTTGTATGCGTTTGACTTTGTTCTTTGACCTTCTATGGCTTATCTTGTGCCTTCGTCGTCGTACGAATAAATCCAAATGCAAATGCATAAATAGAGGCATCAATTGAGAAATAACTGCGAGCGATTCGTGTGAATTGCCAATACGCGCGAAGCAATTTATGTTAAAATATTATTAAACTTCAAGACGACCAAGTTTAAAAAGAGAAAGAAAGTTGTCGCGTGACAGAGAAAGTTTTCTAATAAAAGTGATTGTGCGCAGGTGTCTGGTCGCCAGGAAGTGGAAGCAGCGAGTCCGCAAAGCCACCAAGACAGCCGAGTCCTGACCGTGGAAAGGACTCAAAGGATGATTCAATCCCGCCAGTTTGGACCCCATCGAGCGCTGGCCCGAGTCCCGTTCCCGAGAGAAAAGAATTCCGTCCAGTTTCCTTCGAGAGTCCTATTCTGAGCAGAAAGAAAATCGTCGCACAGGTACGACAAAGACAAGTCGACTGGTCGTTCGTGTCCTGCTCGGGCTTGAATCAAATGTTCTTCTCGTCAAAAGCGGCTTCGCCCCACAACGATCATCGAGCTTTCACGCAACTGCACGCGCGTTTACAAATTGTACTTGACGATGAGAGCTTGCATTTTCAAGCCTTGCAAATACACTTATCTAGCCAGCGAGAGTAACTGAAACGAGCTCCGAAGCGTAAAACGTTGCAAATACACGGTAATGTACTGTCTGACACACTACGCGTGGACTTGCAGCAGCAGCCGCAGCCGTCAGAAACAGACAACTCGGTAGCCCCACCGCCGCCGTGGCAGAAGGAGCAGGACAAAAAAGAGCCCACGCAAGTCCCGTCGCAGAGCACCAGCATCCCAAGCTCGCGGATCGTCAATTCGTACTCGGCCCCAGCTCAGGGTCTGAATGCGCTTGCGGGCGCGCCACGGCTGCCGAGAGCTCAAAACCCGACCATTACTCTGCTGCAAAAAGCACGCGGTACGTATCACAATGGCTGCTCGTGCGCGCCTCGTTATTTCCTCGTTGATAGCCCTCTGAAATTCCGGAGTCCCGCATGGCTACGTTTTTTTTTTTTTACACGAAAAAGTCGAAACCGGAGTTTTTCCGACGACAACTGCGCTTGAAAGACATCTAGAGCTGAATTGAATTTTACTGTATTCACGAGACTCCTCTATTCTGGAACAGAGGGACAGCTGCCAAAGGGAGCGGCCTATTTGGACGAGACTGATCATATTCCACGCTGCAAAGCCGAGGAGAAGCCGCTTCTGAGTCCTGGAGAAGTCAGTGAGTATCCCAATCTCGCAGATTACTTCTCTGTCTCTCTCTCTCTCTCTCTCTCTCTCTCTCTCTCTCTCTCTCTCTCTCTCTCTCTCTCGCTTCTCTTCTTTTATTCAAGCTTAGAATACCCCTCACGTCGCGCAAAGCAAACATTTCTTTCGAAAAATCCGAGCACGCATAAACACGCTCTTCACTCATCTGACAAATGAAAATAAAGAAACGAAAGAAAAATGAAATTCCTGCGCGCGTAAACGAAAAAAAAAAGAAAGCAAATAAAAATTTGCGGAAAAAAAGTGTCTAAGATGTAATTAAATATTCGAGCAGTCTACACGTTGAAGAAGGAGTACGAAAGCGAGCCAGAAAGCGAATATGTACCGCCAAAGAAGATGGCCGACCTCGGCCCCCGCAAATACGAGGGTATTGGCCCAACAACAAGGCATGGAATGCCGCTCGTTCTCAGATCCGTAAGTCATCGATATGCCTGCTGCTGTACTCGCCGTGGTCAAGACATGACTTGAAAGACCTCGCAACTTTTTTTTGTCTATTTGGCATTTCCCGATCATGCTCGCGCTCTCGCGCAGCTTGAATTAACGTTAGAGTATCGGATCGGAATACTAATCCTCAAGTTGATGTGGAAAAACGAAAAAAAAAATGTAAAAAAGAAAAACTTCTTGCAGGAAGTGAAAGAAGGCAATCAGGAAAGGTGGTACAAGCAGATGTATAATTCTCTGCACCGCGCTCCACGAAAGGGTTAGTTTTTTCTTGTTTCAAAAAGAATAAAATTAAAAAAAAGGAAGAAGCGTAGATTCGATTAAAGCGATCCGTCGAGAGAAACGAATAGCTTAAAAAACACAAATTGTTTTCGCATTTGCAGACGACTACGTAACCATCCGCTACAAGCCGCACCGAGGTGATTATTCCCATTTCTGTTGAATTTTAGAAAACAGCAGTGCTAAAGCTCGTGGCGTTGTGCGAACCAATAACGATAAACATTAACTTGGCTGCTAATTTCTAAGTTTACAGCTTCAACTAATTCTCTCTACCTGTATCGCTTCCCATTTCAGCTCGGAATAATTAGTGTTCCGGAGATAAAAAAAAGGAACAACCACTCTTTTTTACCACTAGGTCATCCAATTTATGTTGTGATTCTTGTTACTGTTTATATTTGTGAAAGCAAGAGTCACCCGAGTGATATTCCTAACAATATTAATTTATGTGATTACTTACTGCGACGAACTTGACAAGGCAATGCGATCAGTCACAAGCTTGCGCGCGTGCTTGACAAAGCCAGAAGAATAATTTGCTCTCAGACTGCTCATTCGTAAATCGCTCACTCGACGTAATTTCCAACAATGTATGCATCATCACCATCATTATAACCGTCTGTTAATAAGCTTAGCGATGTCTGTAAAGTCTCCATTAAAAAACGAAAATTAGGCTTTCGGTCCTTGTGTACTTACAAGGTTGGACAACTCTGCGCTTCAAAACTATAAGTTAGTTGCGGATGAAAAGTGCAAAAATAGACCTAAAATGAAGCTCCGTACGTTGTAACTGCTGCATATACTAAAACGACAGTGTTGACTTGGCGTTTTGACTGTATTTTTGTAATGCACCTGCCGAAACATAAGTTTCGTTTGATTAATTTATCTCGCGTATTTTGTAGGTACGAGAACTGGATATAGCGGCACTTCAAGTGGGTATCTAAGCGAGCCTGAACCCGGCCGAAGTAGTTATACCGAGAGATCAGCAACGCTCGACGGCCGGCGACACAGACAACGCAGCAAGGAAAATGACTTCTCTACTCTGCCCAGGCCGTATGTAGTGCTTTCCAATTTTATGCGCTTAGCTTTCATTCTCCGTAAATTCCTGCTGAGCTTTTCTTTCGTTCTCCAATCATGAAAGTACCCCTGAAGAAACAAATCTATTTAGACGGAATAAATTTAAATTGAAAATGTTGATAGAATTTTGCAAGCGTTGCGCTCGCATACAGTTTTATTTATTATTTCAACGCGGATGATGAAAGATATGAATTTATTGAACGTCTGGCATCTTACAGAGCTGGACGTGTAGATGGGCACTACTCGCCGGACACGTATCATATGAACCCGGGAAGAATAGAGAATTACGAACCAGGAAACTGCTCGATTCAAGAGAAGGAAACCAAAGAGGTACAACCATCTCAGTTTTCCTCAAAACGACGCAACGCGGTAACACATGCACACGCATACCGACAATATATCTGATAGCTTCACGTTCTACTTCGCGGAGAATCGCTCGCTATTAAATCGGCCGAGGCGTAATCAAAGCGCAACGGAAATAGTCGGTTCCAGGAAGGCGTCAACTCTCGTTAAACCGTTGCAAAATGCGCATATGATCGGGGAGCCTCTCGCTCTCTCTCTCTCTCTCTCTCTCTCTCTCTCTCTCTCTCTCTCTCTCTCTCTCTTGGATAAAACGCGAATCAAATTTCACAAGTGCCAAATTTATTTTCAAGCGCCTACGCGACTTCTATAATCGGATTAAAGTAACAATAGCAACTCGTGTTTCGTTGCAAGATTCGTCGTAAGCCAATTAGCCACGGCTATCGATGCCGCAAGCGCCGAGCTTGTAATAGTTTTGTTTTAATTGCATTTTGATCACTCGCTAATTACTTTGAGTTAACCCGAGATAAGTATCGGTAACACTATACATTACACATTCGAGCCAAACTATACTTACGAACGTCAAAAGAAACGTAATATTATTTGAAACTAACGATTACGGCAACGGTGCGAGAATCTATTATGTGACAGTTGAAATGGCTTTTCTTCCAGCCGCCGTCTGATCTCACTTGGGCGAAACGGAAGGTAACGTCGTCACGAACTTCCAGCTTTCAATTTTACTTATAATCCACTACTATATTTATTAGCTTACTTTCTTTAACACCCAGTGTTTCTGTTGTGATATTTTCTTTCATGGCGTGTACGCTAGGTACACGTACTTGTTTCGCCAACAGATGCAACAACTATGGTTATAAATATGTACAGATTTTATTCTGACAAAGTGAGCTTCATCAAGTCTTTCATTGATAATTGTACACTCACGATATATTTCTTTAACAATACACTTTTACTGTACATTATATTTTATTTGTTAGCTTTAGTAGTTTACGCTTCTTAGACATTTTTTATTTATTCGTTTAATACAAGCAGATGCCATCTACACCTAATCACGAGTGCGACAATCAAATTAATAACTGCTTTACGAGAGCTGCTTGTAAGCAATAACCTACTCGTAAAATAGATGGCTTCTACTCATTTTTTTTTCTTTTATTTCTTGTTATTTCAAAGTTTTATTAAATTTAACCATTAACGATTTTTTATAGTAACAAAAATAGCTACGGCGCATAGTATAATGCATTATTTTAATCCTTTTTTTCTAGTGGTGGGACGAGGTCATGGAGATATTTGACGGGGTACGAAATATTTTATTCTCAAACAAAACCCGATAAATATAAGATCCTCTGCGAACAAAAATATTCCGCACATCTACTTTTTCTTCGCAGTTCTGATTACTAAACGAATTTCCTCGATTTTCGTATTTCACTAACAGAGAATGCCTCTCTTTTCTCTTTTATTTTTGTTTGGAATCACAAAATAATTGCGAAGAACAGTAATACATTTGGATTTCTGTTGATGTCGATTGCTATAGTTTTTAAATACGTTCATCTGTGTTAAATGATCAATTGCACAATCGTTGAACGTATAAAATTGATCGACATGTAACTCTAAAGTCAAGTGCAGTTTACAATATACAGTAATTACATTGTCATTTGTTTTGAGTACCAACACCACTCACGTAATAGACTTGTAATACGAGTACCAATGACCTACCCTCCTACAAATCTCACATTATTTCATTCACGAGTGATTTTTCATTTTGTTTTATCCTTTTTTGATTACGTAAAATTAACAGATTTATTGTAAAGTTGAAATATACGCGTGTTTTTTCTTTATTTCTGCACAACTTTTTTCTTTTTACCAAACTACAAAAAAGTATTCATATTACTTGCTAATACTGAATAACATGAAGTGGCTTTTTCACCGGCATCGAAAAGGTTTGAAAAGATAAATTAATTAATCAGATGCCGGTGAAGAGAGTCAGAGTTCTATTTTACCTTAACGCTAAATTTAAAAAAAATTCCCGATCCAATACAATGTCGTGAAAAACTAACAACTGCATAATTGAACTGTGTGTCCATAATATGGATGTATCTCTGTGTCTTGTGCTCGCACTGTGCTATCGACCGACTTTCCTCGTCTCTCTGTCGCTCCTCCTCTCGCTCCGTCGCGCGTTGGCTCAGTGGTTGGATGAGAACGGATGGAATGATCCACGCCAACAGCAGCAGCAGCAGCAGCAGCACCAGCAGCAGCATCAGCAGCAGTTTCATCATCAAGAAGAGCAAGAGCTGCTCGCAAGTCCGGCAACGCAGCAATTGATGCAACGTACCCGATCACTGCTGTCACACAACGTAAGGCAGCATCAGCATCAACAACGCGATCGTTCGCTGCGCGGATCCTCGCCCCTGAACCGGCTGTACTCAGAGCGTCGGGAGCTTGAGTTGCGTCAGCTAAAGTTACTCGAGAGCTTGTTGGAGCTGAATCGCGACAGTCAGCAGGTGCAAGAGGCCGTTGGGAGGCCGCGCAGCGGTTCCACTGGTGGCCGCATCATCCGACCTCTCGACTGGCATCAACCCATCATCTCAAGACAACCGCAGTCGATACAACAGCAACCGCTGTCCTCGTCGGCTTCATCCTCGTCCTCCGTCACCAACTCGTCTTCTAATGGCACCAGCACTAATCATGTCGCGGTAGCGCCCTCCTCTTCTACCTCTTCGCCACGTCTGGTTAGATCGCCGCCGCCGCGATGCACAGTGCACACTTTCTGTCATCTTGCTCCTTCTGTTATCAACCCTACCTCCTTTTACCCAAAACGGCTGTCTCGTCTTTTCTTTTATCTTGCAACAAAACGCCAGCATCTCTCACTCTGGAATGGCTGTTGTGCTGCATTGTTGAAAAATCCTTGTCTCTACCTCTTCTTGTTCTTCGTGTTCTTCTTGCTTCGTCCTGATTTCTCTGTTTCATCTGTTACCTCGTTTTTTTCAACTACAATGCATGACGAATGTGTCAATTTTGAATTTTGATTTTTGCATTGATTCTTCCAAGACTAATATTTTGTAGACGTTTTTGATTCGATAGAATGTATTTAATCACTTATAAAAAGACTGATTTTAATTGTCTTGGAAAGTAAAATAGTCTTAAGAATGAATATCATTGTCAACGTGCTTGGTAAAGCTAGAATCGAACAATCTTATTAAAAATTTCTCACCTCTTTCTTCATAAACACAATATACATTATCAACGCTCAAGACAAACGTGTAAATATAGATGTATAATTGTAAACAAGCAGTAGATTATTCATTTACGTGGCTAGAAGCTATGTATGATAGTTCAACTCGGCAACAACTCTCTCATCTGTATATTCGCCGAAGCATCATTGCTGTCGCAAATCAATTTTCTGTCTCTCTCCAGCGTTTTAAACATGCACGTACTTACTAATATATACACGTGTACAGCTTCAACACAACATGAAGCATGTTCTCATCGCCAGCACACCCACGTCAACGACATACACGTCAACCACAAAATGCTTATCCAACATAATCAATCACAACTGCGATGATTCACACTGAATATTTTATACTGATAAATCTTGATTATGCCACAGCATTATGACACACTAAATTTATGTTGTATTGCCGTAGAATATAATTGTTAAGCGTTAAAGTAACTAAAATCTAAGCACGTGTGTAGAACAATGTTAATATTTAAAAAATGCAATTGATTAAAATCGTTTATATTATTTTCTTTTTTACAGCCATTCGAACAATCAAACTCGCCAAAGTCGTATATGACTCAGTAAGTAGCTTTTTTTCTTCGATAATGAAAGTATATCTAGTTGAACCAATTATTTCTTGTATTTTACCGTGAGAGGAAGTAAAGTTTGAACTGTTTCTTACGGAAAAAGTTTGAAAAAGTGTCTTAATCAAGCGATCGACAATGAAGAGTCATTAGCAGAGTTTGCTTAATTTTAAATGTCATTTGTAGCGCCCTTAAGGAGTCTGGCTACGAAAGTGACTCAACACTAGTCTTCCGTCGACGCGAGGACGTCAGTCCATTAAGTCCTCTGGAGCAGAGGATAGCCTACAAGACAGTTCAAAAAGGCGGTGACGTGCCTCTTCATGGTCTGCGCAAACCTGCGCCCGAACGTCCCAAAGGTAAGAACTTTTCGCTTCGAAAACTTTGCTCTTCACCAGCTATAGATATGAATAAGATATATACTTCTCTGGCTGCGTTATTGACATACATTAAGAGTATAGCTCGAATTTTTGACTTTGAATATAAATTTTTGATACAGAGTCTCGCTTATCCTGAATGTATGCTCGATAAAACGAAATGCCTATAAGCATACTCTACTCCCTTTTTCCAATTTCTTTTTCTGCATTTTTCTTTCTTATGGTGATAGCAGTTTCCCGCATGACCAAGTATTGGGTAAAGATGTAGAATACCCACTATTAGATCATACCAAAATTAACCTGAATTTTAATTGCTTAGAAATGATACCGTAGTAACTGCCTTTTAGATAGGGCATGTCCAAGCTTTTTTATTATTATACTTATAATTTATTTTCAATACGAGCGCATTTTTTATCTGCACCATTCATGTTTATATTATTACCTAATTTGGTTAACATATAGAAAGCTTTTTTTATATATAATAAGCTGCGATAATTCATTATTGCTCACAAAATTATTGTAATACTGCGCTGTAACTTTTATTCTCATTTATCAAACTCAATTGAATTTTATATGGCACTACTCTTTTAATTGATGTAAAAAAATAGATTCTTCGACAACTTACGATCGAAGGTATTGTTTACAAGTAAATAAATAAAAGAATCTATTTTGTGATATCATACTCTATCAATATTGTACAACGCCATCATGTTTATTAAACCACGATTTTCGATGCTCATTTTTCGTAAAATACACGCACAAGTTTACGCACCAGATATATCTTCATGTCACGCGTGTGTGCACCCGTACATATATATACATCAATAAACCAGTAAAATCAAAACAGAATCCAAGGATTTATCTCGGCACATGCTTGTACTACTTCTGGATCGATAAAAGTGAGAATCGTCATCTGTTGATTCGGCGAAACTCTGGTGACAGGGATGTATGCCTAATTCTTACCAGCTGGCTTTCACCACTACTTCACTCACAAAACAAAGTACCCTTGAAACTTCGACACTCGTTGATTATCCATGGACGACGAAAAACAAAAACATGGCTATCTCTGTCCACAGACGATACGGAGATCGAGTATTTTCCGATCTCGCCAACACTGACGAGGATCCGAGTGCATCGGAAGAGCAGTTGCAGTTCGGCCACCGCTTCGCCTGCGTCCTCGACCTCGTCGATGAACGTCTCGCGTATACCCGTCAGTTCTATGGCGTCGAGACGCGCCCACTCGAGAGGCTCTATCCATAACCCCCCTGTCTCGTCGTCCTCGTCTTCGTCGTTGCGAAAAGCTGACGATACCTGCACAGTCCCCTCGCCGCCAAAGAGAAAGTCCTCGCGCAACAATCGAACTCTCAAGCTTTACTCGAACGTCCCGAACTTGCAGGAAACCGGTGGCCCGCGTCACGAGCAGTGCTTCGTCGAGGAGCACATCTCCAACATACGCCTGCTCAAAGAGAAGCTCAATACAAATTTGGAGAAGCATCGACGCGACAGAGAAGAGTCGCAGAAACAAAGACTCGCGAGAACTTTATCGGCCAGCCCGGTGCCATTGCTCAGGGAGCCGATTTCCGCTAGCTCATTAGACTCCAAAAAGAGACGTTCGGATCCTTGCTTAGCACGTGCTTCCGCCGATTCCGTAGTCAAAGCACGACTTTCAGTTTCAGCTAGTCCGGTCGCGAGATCCCCGAGAGTCCCCTCATTGAGGAAATCTGCGGAAATAAAGTCAAGCATTAATAGAAGTTCCTCGAAAATTTCGTTGAACAGCTCGTCGAAAGACTTAACAGTTTGTCAGCACGCATCTCGTACGAAAATTGCGAATTCGCCGCTGAAAAAGGAAACTAAAGCACGTAGGACTAAAAAAGAGCAAGAAGAGTCTTGCAAGAGACTCAGCAGATCAGCCGTCGATCTCACGTCACCAGTGGAGGTTCGTCGAATACTTCAGAAACAGAAGGATAAGGATAGACATCCAAGAGCCGTTACAACAAGAATATTGCCCTCCGGAACTGTCATTAAAAGCTCATCTGCTCCGTACGTATCCACCATTAGCGGAAGCAGCTTGAGATTGGACGATAAGAGTCTGAAGGTTACTGTCGCTATTTCGCAAAAAGGCCGAGAGATTTTTCGAAAACCAACGTCTACTGGAAAAACTTTGAAACAAAGGAGTTCTGCTGCCGACAGTTCGAGTGAAGCTAAAAAAAGGAAGGTCAGGGACAAGTCACCGATAGTTAAAAAATCAAATTCGAGACAGTCATTGGTTAATCGACAGAAGATGTCAAAGTCCATCGACATTAAAAGCAAAAAGAAAGAAAGCTCTAGACACGCAAGTAAAACCAGTAGTCCTGAAAGATTTCTGAGCGACAGAACGACGAAATCAGATGTAAGTAGTCCCGCTCTGACTATCGAAATGTTGAGGCAGCATCATGAAGCCACAATGTCAGACTCGTTTTTCCAACACCTATTTCTTCGAGACATAATGCTTACTTCGACTGAAACAAGTCCTCCTCGAAAGTCATCGGTGCTCGATCGTGCACGCATGTTTCAGGAAATCAATTACAGCGATAGCTACAAATCGGAGCCGTCCTTGAAATCCTTAAGCATCTATCTCGCTCACAAACGACCTGTTTCAAATTCAAGATTCAAAAATTGGGAACGAGAGAGCATGTCTTCTAGAAGCTCCAGTCCCTACGGTATGCGATCGTTTCTGTCAAGATTCAATAAATACGACAGTCTTCTAAGAGTCGATGAATTCGGATCATCAAGTTCTTTGCGAGGCAGGAGTCCTGATCTGAGCCGCGAGTGCCCAAAAGAGAGGAGCTTGAGTGAGCCACCACTGAAGACCTTACCAGAAAGTCCTGACTCAACTTGCCGTCGATCGCCATCGCCATCTACAGTCAGATCTCCAGCAAGTCACAAGATTCAGAACCTACGTCAAGACCATTTTGATAGCGCTGGTGAAAATTCTCTGAAGAAATCCAGAGCTAAAAGCGCCAGTGAAATGGACTCTATTCGTGGTTGTAAACAAACTTTTGGTTCCAACACGTCGCTTACGCGAAGCGTAAACTCACTCATGAACTTCCCTATAGATCGCGAAGATTACCAGCAGTACATTTTAGAACGTTTACATTCGCGCCAGAAATCGAAACGCTATCGAGATTTATATGACTTTTACACGAGCTTGGAAAGGTTGGGAAAGCTTGAGAAAACCACATCAAGTGGTGATCTCCGACCGAGATTAAGAAATGAAGAAGTTATTGATTACGAGCGATGGAAGCAGTTGCGAGCTAAAGAAAAGGCAGTACAAGAGCTCAACAATCTGTATAAGAAATTAAAGATGGTTCAGAAAGAAAAAGATTTTTTATTCATAGCTAGTGACGTTGATCGATACAGATGGCGCGGTGATTGTAACTTGAGATGCAAGGAACGATCCGTTCAAAACATTAAAGAACAATTTCGTAAGCTGCAGAATGAAGAAAGTGAATTGGAAGCGTCGAGGCAGCGTGAAATAGCGGCCAAAAAAGATACTTATAAGCCTCTTTGGCGTGGAAATTCCGTTGTGAACGTCGCGAGCACGTTGACTAGAAAAGCGGCTGAAAAGGCGGAATTCGACAGGTCATCGGTTCAGGTGTCACTTCAAAAAAGCCTTGGCGGCAGTAACAAGTTCTGGAGTAGCTTATCCGTAGAACAGGTCACAGCTCTGAAGAATCAATTGAACGATATCTACGGAAGCGATCTTCCACAGCCTAAAAAATCCAAACCCAAATGTCCTCAACCGCCAAATGACGTTGCGCTACAGAATGGTGTCCCTGAAACTGAAAAACCAATACAAAGACAATCGCCAATTGCACATCCAGATATGAAAAAAAACATGCTAATATCAGACAGCGAGCAATCAAGCTTGTCGATATCAGATTACGAAATAGTCGTGCCAATGAAGAAGAGAGATTTATCGCCGGAAGGATTGCACGTACGCTGTCACTCGATGATTACCCCTGATCGTCGCTCGAGGCGCAGCGATGAGACTGACGCGATCAAGCGCAGTGGGTCCATAAGTCGAGTGTCAAGTTTAGAAAGATCGAATTCTGATCGCGCGCCAAGTTCGTCTCCGATGAGCGAGGTTGAAAAGAAGCGATTGTCCTTGACACTTGGCAAAGAAATGTTGGAGAAAGTGAGTCAGAGGTTGAAGGCGTCCGTGATCAAACCTCGAGAAACTCATGGAGCTCTTGCAGCTGTCCTGGCTAAAAGCTCTTCCAACGTTTCTCCGAGGACTTGCTCTTCCATTGAGACACCCACCAGCGACAATCCCACCAAATCCAAAACAGATAGAGACTACGTTTTAGTACTCACGCCCACGGAATGCGGTCCCGAGCAAAAAGAACGCGTAGAGAAAGTCATGAAGAAATGGTCCAAAAAGCCACCAGTCGCGACTGCTTCGATCGCCGAAAGAGTCGATCAGATGGATAGTGCAACCGAAAGCTCCGACACATCCGTGAAAACAGTCGTGCAGCGTTCAAGCGACGGGGACGATTTGCAAAGAAAAGTAGAATTCTACGAGAAGATCGAGAAGGACAGGGAAGTAGTAGTAGCCAGATCTACGCCAAAACGTAGCTGCAAGCTCGCCTCTTCCCAAAGCTTTGCAGACCTAAAGGATCTTTTTGGTGAAAGTGCCGCAACAAAGTACCGCACGATTCCCCTGTTTTGTTCTCGCTCGAGCTCGCCGACCGCCAAAGCGGAACGGGCTTCCGGTTCGCCGGACGTGGTGGCGAACACGCGACGCGAGCGGGCGCGCAGCGCCAGTCCGTGCCGCGCTGCCTCGCCCGCCATCAGCGAGTCGTCCAGTCTCGAGAGCCTGTGGCAGCGTTGCGGCTCGCCCGATCCCGAGAAATATTGGCGCACCTATCTCAAATTAGTCAGAGACGGCACTGTCAAGCGTTTGCGCGCGAAATTCGAAAGTTTAGAGGAGCTTTCGCATGGCCGTCGTCGATTGGCCTTAATACCAAAGCGGTTTCAAAGTGATCCAGAGTTGGCCAGAAATTTGTTGAAAAAAGTCACAGATACCACGAGAAATTACATCAAACCGCAAGAGATAGCGGATGTGGCTTGGCTGCGCAGAAAGTACGAACCACCGAGAGGCAGAAGGCGCCGGGGAGGGCTGTCACCGATTCCGCGTATGCCCTGGAAATTGGAGGATCTGACGATGCCGCACATCAACGTCATCAGCAAAACGGCCAAATTGAAGGAGTCTTCTAATCGTAAGCCTTCGAGCTCTGTACCTTTACGAGAAGAAACGAAGGAGCTGAAGGCGAAGAGAGCCGTCAATCGCGTTCGAGAGATGTTCGAGCGCAGCCTGAGCCCCGAATCCAAGACTTCTCTTCTAGGAGAGATGTTTACATCTGCTCCTAACGTACACGAGTTAAGAGACATCGCGCCTTATTTGGCAGGACGCTGGGTCGCTCATCAATACCCCAGCCGTTACGATAATTCTCGGTCGTTGTCCTCGCCACCAGATCTCTCTCGTGACTCCGAAACTTCATCGTTGAGGTCCAGAAGATCTATAACACCACCCAGCCGAAAGAAGAAGTTCTGCGGCTCCAGAGCGTCATCCACATCGCCGGTTCGCCCAAGAACACCGGTGTCAATTCTAAAGCCACCGCAGCAGCAGGAGCCGAAGCAAGCTAAAATCGATGTGTTCGCTAATCAACAGTTCGATCCAAGTAAACATAGGCCGAGGTTTAGATACCAGCCGACACCGCCACCATTGCCGCAGCCACCATCGCCGAAATCCAGATACAAAGGTATCAGAACATGGTACCCGCCGATGTCCACCCACCACAACACCAGACCAACTGTCGTCACCTTTAAGAGTCCGACTACCAGACCTCCTAAAGCATACCGCCGCGTCTAGACTTTTTCAAAATTCACTCATCTAATCTTTATTTTTTATTGTGTTTTATTTAACTAATTGTATTTTTGGTCATCTATTGTCAAGTTTAGTGTACAGTGCGTAGAGACGTTTCGGTATTGATAGGTCAGACTAAGCACACTATGAGAGAGTGAAAAGAGTAGAGCACTATAAAATTGACAGTTGAGACGCAAGGGAATGAGAAAATCATCTCGTTCAAGTCAATTTCGGCGATCATTCATCAGTAGGCGAAAACATTAGATCCGGTATATTCACTCATCGTTTTTTATCTTTTTTTGTTTCTTTTTTGATCGCTCGTCCATGTAGAGTACATGAATGCACCGCCACCGCCACCGCCAAAAGCCCAACACTACAGAGGCGAACGCCAAGGTAAATTATTTCCCATCTCCATCATTTAACTTGATAATCATTATTATTTTTTTCCTACTTACTATCAATTTATTATAATCTTAATTTTTATGTTTTTTGTGTTATTGTTTTGATTATGATATCCATGCTGCTATAATTGCTTTGACACAGTTGTAAATTTTAGTTGAACTCAAATAATTTTTCATTAATTTAGTCTCATTGGATTCAAACGAAATACAACTTTTAATTTTGATAACATTCGACTTGAAATAATACAATTGAAATCACTCGCTTGATTAGACCACTTCATAAAATCACACGCGATAGCTTCACAAAATCATCATTTGTCATTACATTGGCTCACAAATGCTTCGAGAAATATGTCAGTCGCGCATTAAGCATGCGGGCACAATTTTACAAGCTGCATGTTTTAGTGGACGCGTTCGATTGCATTTTGCGAGCTTTGCGTGTTGCTGTGTTTGTACGTATTGTGCACGTATTATATTATGAAAAAAAACTTATCCTATTCGTATTTTGCAACGTCGTTTTATAACGCGTTTGTCAATCCCGCAGGTAGGATATGTATAACGGCAAACTAGCGTTGCTCAGAAAAGCGTAAAATTTCAAGTGAAAATGCATCAGAGCAGTGAGAGAGAGAGAGAGAGAGAGAGAGTGAGAGGGCGAATCCGCAGCAGTTCTGTCTCTGTCGCTCCTTCTGTTGCTGGTTCCCCCGGCAAAAGTGCACTTTCCCATTTAAATTACATGCCGAGCGCATTCTTCCGCAACTCTGCTCTCCTCCCTGCGGCTGAGCGAGTAGAGTACGTTGCTCCCACCGCAGCGCCGGAGCCGCCTGCCGTGTTTTTCCTTGCTTTTCGATGCAATGTCAATCGGCTGACCAATGACCCGTAGCTCGCGAGCGCGCGCGTCTCTCTTCGTCGATGATTCAATGTCCGAGGAAAGCACAAGGATAGAAAGAGACGTAGCTGCGATACGACCGGCTAATTGGAATTTAGTTGATTCTGTATAATTGGATTGACTCGATGCGCCGTACACTGTGCCGACACCGCCGCGTTGATCGAGCGCTCGTGCCTTTTATAAATTATGATTTACTTTTAACGCGGCTGTTTGTTTTTCACGCTGAGCTCTCGAGAGGCTAAGGCGTCCAGTGTCTTTTTATTTGCTTTCCCCTGTTTCTGTCGTTGATGTCGATTGCGACACAATGGGTTCTCGAATACACGCCGACATAACGTTAGCTTAAATTTTACTTTCAAGAGAAAATTACTCTCCCTTGTCAACTATGTATACTCGATTAAAAAAGTAGTCATTAGAACTATTGTAGCAAATATTGAAGATTCGCACACCAGAAAAACTGTACTTTTCAATGTTGTTTTCTGTTTCAATAAAAAGTATGTTATCTAAATTTCGTCGTTCTCATACGTTGTTTTATTTTTTCACTGGATAATACACACAGAATCATGCATAATTCATCACTGTGTATGTAAAACCGATAAACAGTGCAAAAACAGAAACGCTCGATTGTTGTACTCTTTTGCTACTCGAAGTTCCAACAAGTCTACTTAAGACTTAAGTAGTAGAATATCGTGCCGAGGAAAAAAATCAAGATCAAAGTAATAAGTTTAAAAAAAGAAACCCTCAATACCATCTATAAATAGAGACACGTCTGCTTCAAACGATCCGATAATGAAGCCAATAAAAGCTTGCCTATCTCGTTAAAAGAGCGAGAGAATATGTGTACCAAAAAAGAGCATACCGCGGGGAACGATAGTGTCTGCACGAACAGTATAGAGTAACAAAAAGAGTCGACGCCGCGCATCGAACAAAAGCTGTCCGCGTGGAAAGAAAAGTGAGCTTGCCGAACAAAAAGAGAAAAAAAAGAGAAACGTATCCACGCACCCACGGAAGTCGGAGGTATGCACCGTGACGCGATTATTCGGTGCTGATAACGCGATTTATCCATGTCGATAGTGGCGTTCTGAATGAAAAATCATTGGCAGCTTGTGAAGGCTGCAACGCCGACGGAATACAATCAAGCTTCGCGAATAATTCCCGTTGGCCTACTTTGGCCAACCGGCGCAGTCGTGTAACAAGTGCGCGCGCGCGGTCGTGAATGTTAAGGTTCGTGATCTGCGCGCGTACGTAGAGCAATCGAGACATTTAGAAAAGCGTTCGGGAAAAAATAACAGAGCTTGGCTTTACTTCCAAGTAAATTTCAATGAAGATATGGAGCTGTAATTGACCTACTAACTCTAAGTACTTCCCAAAGTACTTTCTCGTAGAAACATGTGAGTGATAAGACGCAAAACATCTTCGAGCAAAAGAGTATCAAAATTAATACGAGTTATTTGCGGTTCACCTACTTTAACGATGATATACGTGTAAATATGCCAAAAAGTATTGCTCAACTCCAGGTGTTTATTTTTCTGTTATCTATATCGAAGACGGTTCAACGAGCTCACTTTCGTAACAATCGTTTTTGGCAATAAGCCAAGAATACCAAACGCCACTCTGATAACATTTTTGGCCTATTTCTAAACACATAATCTTCATTAGGATACCGTTAGAGGAAATACCGGATACAAGGTTCGGGAGGAAACGAAGCTTGTGATTAAGCCTTCGTCAATCTAGGAAATGAGAGCCTTCTGTTAATTACCTTTTAATTTCTTTTCTGTAACACGATCTTTCTGTGGCCTCGTAAATATTGCACCACTCCATTATTATTGTTACAATTATCAATGTAAATCGACCTAAAACGATAAATCAATTAGGACAGTCATCGATATCAATCGCGAAAGCGATCCAGTCCTATAATCTTTGCAGACGGGCATCAGTCACTGAAAATAATCAATCGAGCTCGAGCAAACAATGCAAAGCGTGGAGCGAGTCGGGGCCCCGGCAGCGAACGCGCCCCAATTCATACGATTATCCGACTCAGTAAACTCGGAACAATTATCGAGAACCTAGTCGGCCGATCAATTATCGTTGGAAAGTTAAGCTGCCCCCCTTCCCCCACACCGTCCGTGAGCGCGAGCGTGCGATTTGAAGCGACAGCTGATCGACCACGTGACAATGATCGTGTGATTGCCGCGCATCGCACCGAGACGACGACACTTGAGTTACGCGCCGCACGCCGAGCACGACGCCTGCGTCTTGGCTCGCGCTCGTCTCTTGTGTGCCGTGAGTTTCGAGCTGGTTTACACGCGAGTGCAGTTCAAGCGAACGAGTGTCGATTTGCGTCTATGTCACTGTGATAAGAGCGAAATCCTCGTCGTTTTAAAGAGAAGCCTTCGGCAACGTCTCAGTGCTGCCGACTAATTTTCAAGTGCCACATTAACAGCTCGTGAATGCCCGTACGCCTCGTTTATCAAGCGACGCAACTGATTAATAACGTCCCGCCAGTTAGAGACCACTGCTGCGCGTTTCAACGCGCGCGCGTGCAGTGCCGCAACCAAGAGCGCACGAGCGTTATTATGTTCGCTCTAGCGTTGGGAGCCGATAGCAGCGTTAATAACGATACGAAACGAAATCAATTTTTATTTGGCGAGGCCACCTCTTCGTAGCCGCGCGCCCATTTTTCGTTGAAGCGCGCGCACCACGTCAAAGTAAACGAGCCCACGCTGCAGATACGAATTTTTGCTCTTCGTTCGATCGATACGATGTTTTATTTTTCGAGTCGGAGTGGCGAAACAAGGAAGTAGACGAGCTCGTCGTTGTTGGACGCTTTAGAACGATCGCGAACAAATACGTCAGATTAGATGTACACTCGAGATTGCGTATAGAGACGGCGGTTATTTATAATGATCGCATCGGTTGACTTTACCGACGAGAGACCAAATGGCATCCGCGCGTGGAATGAAAAAGTACTCTCGGCGTGGCAGGGAAAACGTGACGGGAATGCTAATAAAGCCACAACAATTGAGCTAACGCGCGCGGCAAGTGTGCCGAAAAGAAGTAAGCCGAGCCTCGGCGCCTTGTTTTTCTCCCAATTACCGGCAACAAATGGGATTTCACTTTTTCCCTCGGCTCGTATGGGTGTTCATCCAGTTTCGCGGGCGCCATATAAATTAATTGCTCGAGGAAAATCCAGTGAAATCGGGCTCGAAAAATCAACCCACTTCGCGTACATAGTCGCGCGCGCGCGCTAGTGCCTCATTAGAATAGAATGACTCACTCGGCGCTCGCTCGGCAGGTGCGAGTCGAGCAGCTAGTGCAAGTATCGGCTTTTCACACAGACGTTCTCATTAAGCTCGAGGCGACGAGGACCTTGTTTCCGGAAGCGAGTAGTGTGTCTCTATTATTTAGAAGCAAGCACGAAGAAAAACAGGGAGGGGCGAGCAGCTCGGCTAATTATCAGCTCGTGAATTTGGCGAAAGGCGGCTTTCCGGTGAAACGCGCGTTCCGCAGACGGCTATTCTGGATATTCGGCGAACGAGTCATTGATAGTCGAACGAAAGTCAGCCGGACTCTGAACCGAGGCCGGTCGTTCGCTGACGCGTCGTCGCCGATTTAATTCGCGCCTTTTGCCCGTGAGCGCAGCTACCGGCTGCAGTTGCTGCGACTGGGCCATACGGGTTGAACTCGATTACGGCGCAAAACGGATTTCACGTCGAGCCCGAGCACATCGACGCGAGTCCGAAAGAAAAAGGGACCGCTGCAATTTATTCGATCTGATTACCTCGCGGCAGCCCGAGGCGACGTTATAATCCTCGAGACCTCGAGAGCTAGCGGCGCGCTCGCTCGCCCGGGAGAAGCTCGAAAAGCCGGATCGGCCCTTTTTAGTTTTATTTTTTCGCAGCTCCGTCTCTCGCGAGCTGAATCGCCTGATAACGCGCGGCGGCGTTCTCTTTCGCCCAGGCGCAGCCAGGTCGCATTTCAAAGATGCGTCTCGTCCGTTTGACGGATCAATGGTAGGCCTCGTTCAATTTATCCGAGCGCAGCCGAGCCTAAATTACAAACCATCCTGAGAATTGCTCGTCAATTATAGGTGAATCCGCTCGAGCGGC